GATTAAACAAACAAGAAAACAACCACAGAAAAAAATACTAACTAAACAAATTCTATCCGTAAATGATGAGATTCAAGTAAATTTAAATAAAACTTTTGAATTTCTTTTCGTTTTCTTTTTGTCTAAATGAAAATCTTTTTTCTCTAGCATATGCCAAATCCAACACAAACAATGTTAAATTTTCCTCTAACTCGTAAAGCTAGAATGCAACAACGTTCTCTGACTCGTGCAGTTTCTCAAGATATACCTATGACTATACCACAACAATATTCTAGTTCAGTATCTTCATTAACTAATCAACCAAGAGCATCAACATCAGCAGATACATCTTTCTTAAATAATGATATGGTAATGATTGAAAAATACTTTTTATAAAAAAATTATAAGACAATTATATACATAGAGACTAATGTTTTTCTACTTAGTCACACTCTAGTCATGCAGGATATTTTATGAGCTCATCAAAAACAAAAAACATGCTACAATTTTGTTCTTTTGTTTTCGTATTGACTTATTTCATTTAGTTCTCATTGAAAGTTCGTCGAATTCCCGTTGGCTAATAGATGTTCATATATACTGTAGTATTTCAGATTGCAAGGAACAATAATTGGTTTGAATCCTTATGTCAGATTAATGTGTCCTAGACTGTAAGGACAGGATCTGGAGAATGTGACCGTTTTTTTTTCTGTATAACATGACTCAATATTACAACTATACATTTTCTTACCATATATGGAGAAATACGACCACCTACGGCTACATACTGAGTAAAACGGAAATAACAGCCGAAATTCGTAAATGGTCATATCTCTCGTTATCGGATTCGAAGAAATACGATAGAAGTCCTGACTTATGTCAAACTGTCAGTATACAATCAATTATGATTGTCTACGAACGTGTTTAGTCAAACTGTCAGTATATATATATTTAACATGTTTTATTTCTAAGCACGAAGCAGACAGAATATGAATGGTGAAAAACTAGGTGGGTGTGGTTTGTGAGTGACGAGATAACCCACATCTCCATCCCTGTTTTCCACTATCGTGAGCGCTAGAAAGAATTCTAATAATAATTGGAATAGAGAAAACTTTTTTCAACAAGAATATTATGAAATAAAAATGATTATGAGGTCTCCAAAGAAAGGAACTCCAGACAATTAACATGCTAGCTTTTCAGCACCTAGAACGACAAAGTAAATGATTCTCTAAAAAATGGGATGTCTCCGAGCTTTTTGCGACTTTTTTTTCCAATTTTCTATAGAAAAATCATTTTTGGACCTTAGAATCAAATTGCTGTATAAATTAAATTATATTTACGCGCTTTATAGATAGTTAATACTTCCCCATCATCAAGTCCAAATTGTGGACAAAATGCTGAAAGTAAACGTCGTCGAAATATAAAAGTAAATTTTTTTTGTTTTTAAATTGTTTTTCCAATGAAAACTGATAATGAATTTTTCTTTAGAATGGTTTTGAAAGTCTTCGTTTGTTAATCCCAGAACTTAGTGATCCATCAAATGCAAAAATAAGTAAAGCACAAATGCTTGAATGTAGTAAGTAACCTGTCATATTCTTCTGTCTATTTTATTATTTCTTCTTTTTTTTTTAAATTTTAGCTGCAAATCATATTCAACGTATTGTTGAAAGACGTGATAAAATGAAAGAAGAAGTTGATTTATTACAACATGAAAATGAACAATTACAACAAAAAATTTCACAATATCAAACAAGTTTACCTGTTGATGGTATTCCTATAATACCAGCAACACGACGATCACGTGAAGCATCTAATGCACTTTTTCATGCATATGTTGCTGATCGTACAAAAAAAAATTGGTGTTTTTATCCATATTCACTTATACTTAAACGTATATTTGATACATTTCAAAATACAGTTACATGTGATTCAACTGAAGAATTTTTACGTTCATTAAATGAATGGAAAACAAATTCATTGAATCTTGTACAATTACGTCAGGCAGCATCACAAGCTGTTATTGATATGGGACGAGTAACATCGTTAATTACATGTAAGTTACCAAGAAATAAAAAAAAAAGTAACATAACTTATTATTAAATTTTTTTGTTTTAGCACCTGAATGTGTACCGGATGAATGTGTGCGATTAGCGACTAATGATAATCAATGATTTTGTTTTTATTTTATATTATTTAGTCTTTCTTGTATTTAGTACTTTTTTTATTACCTATAATGTCTTTATTTTTTCTCTATCCAATACAATGCTATTATGATTACCTGTTTGTATAGTATTGATCGTTTGACGGTGTTTTATTTTTTCAAATAGTTGGATGTTGATGAGTAAATGTATTATATAAATATGTAAATTCTGCAGTGATTGTTTCTTTTTCTTTCTTTTGAATACAAGATGGAAATTAAAAAAAGAAGAGCGACCCTGCAAATACAGTTATTAATACATGACAATTTTCTAAATTAAAGTTTAAGTTTTGTTAGATGTTTAAAGAGTGATTTTGGCGGTTTTTTTAATATGTAAAAGTAACTTCAGCATGAATAAATTGACTTACTATGTGTTGCTAATTACCGTTCAAATTGAATAAGATTCAAGGAACACTGTCGAGCTTTCTCGATTGAATAATTTTTGATTTTTTCTGTTCTTAATACATGTGGAATTATTTTCTATAGCGTGTCGAAAAGTTCGTAGTAAAAGCAAATATAATTATCTCCTGAAAATTTCAAGGGACTTGATCATTTTTTTTTGTAATATGATTAGAAAGGTATGTTCCAAAAACTGAAGTCAAATTAAAGGTTTCAATATATTAAAATAGATTTTAAATTTTTGTATGTATCTGATGATTTAACAGTTTCAATTACACGTAACACTTTGAACATCGAACCAGAACCGTCGAACTTCACTTTCCAGACGAAGGCTCGAGTTCAAGGTTTACTTTATTGTCGGGTTCTGAATCACAAAAAAATGAACTCTCGGCTTCCTAAATATGGTAGTGTGGTCTTTGAGTTTTATTTAACATAATTTGATTGAACAACACATGTTAATAATGATTCCTATCAACTAAAATGAATACATCCATTATTTTTAAAATATCAAAAAAACAGAGTGCAGTTTTGTTCTTTTCTTATCATAATCTTCGTTTAGCTTTACTATTTTTACTTTCGGTAAGTTCTTCAAAACGCTGTTGTTTTCCAACAATATCAACTTTACAAAGGCAGGGCAAATATCTTTACTGTAGAAAGTGAATCTTATTTACATGTTGATAGATACGGATGATTGTTGGCAGGTATGATGAATGAAACTTCAAACAGCATACTATTATAGTATGAAAAAGCAATAAGTTGCTTGAGTAGTATAAAAGACATTTATATGTACTTTTCTGAGTCTACTAGACATACATATATTCCAAAATTAATATATTACTATTTTCAGTGGAAAAATAAAACATCTTCGCTGAAAAAAAATCCAAACGTACACATTGTTTTGCTTCTTTTGAAAACAAAATTTTTTAACAAACGAAAATGAACAGCTGCCGTTTTTTCAAAGTCAAAGTACATTCGATTGAGCTGAAACTTTCTGTTAATATTTGAAAGTGTTTAGGGTATCTAATTATTTTTTTGTCACAAAACAGAATGCAGTACTGTTTTTGTTAGAGTTTTCAAAAAAATCTCCAGCTAATTCACATATCATCACTTATAGAATAGTAATCTATGGTGTGTACGCTCCAGTTTGCTAAAATAGCAAGAGTACGAAATTATTAATCAGTTATAATGGAGGTGTTAGGACTGCGAAGAAATCTTGACTGCACAAAGAACAAATGTAAAAGCACTGAATTTGAATTGTATTTATTCAAGATTTTCCTTAGTATTTTCTATTTTCAAAATGTTTCCATATCTTAGAACTGCTCTGTCATCTTAGCAACGACTGTCTCCGATTATAGTCTACTATCCTTTGCTGAGCTGTATCTAAAAGAACAAGATTCGGTGTAATGTTATATATGCATAACATCGAACTGAAAACTGCTAGGATCTGGATGGGATGTGGGTGTTCGCTTAGAAAATACCCACACCGATGCCCATTTGTTTCCACATTTCCCATCGTCGAAATCAAATGACAATGTAAATTGTGGAAAAATAAAAACATTTTTTGTTTACAAGATCCTAATATTCATAAAATAGATAAGTGTTTTGCTTTGATTTAGAGAATCAATTTTTGATGATCATCATTCATTCACAATCATTCAATTATAGTATTCATGGACCGCTTCGAACGACTATTGTTGAACGACATAACGTTGATTTTTCTTTTGTTTAAAAAGAGTAACATGTTCCTTATAGGAAAAGAATATTGTTGTCGTGTTGTTGAGCAATGCATAATAACGTTAAATCGACCACATGTTGAAATTGCATATATTTATTATGAAAACATTGAAACTATTTCTTGTGTTCGTGATGCAAATGTTCAACTCAAATGACATTATTTTAATTCCTTTTAAAAGAAATTTTACCTGAATTTATTTTATGCGATGCTGGAAGAGCGTTTGACGTGAAAGCAAAATAAATAATCTATTGAAAAATATATTTATATCTTATAAAATAGGTTATTGTACTTGTACGTAAATTAGCAATATATCTAGGTTATTTTGCTGTTCTCTACAGTCATGCAACTATTATCAAAGTCCAATTAAAAATATAAATAACATTAATTGAGCAGAAAAACAAGTAAAAAACTTAAGAACATCCGCGTTCTATGAAAGAAAATCAAGCAACAGTAGCAAGGCTTCAATTATCACAAGCTGAACATGTTATTTGCATAAAACCGTTCCAACATTTTTGTCCATTTGATCAATTTACATTACATTATGACGATCGAAGGTGCGGGTGTAAGTTAAGAGTCAATCCACGCCTATAACCATACACCATCCTCTTCAGAGTTTATGTATGTCATCGATGCAAATTCATATAGATTCATTGCATAGAAAAACTTCGTTCTCAATATATAGATAGTTTACAGTTAATAACACAAGATTTCAGATAACGATACGTCATCATTTTGAAACTGTTTAGAAATTTTGCAGAAGTCTTTCAGTTTGTTGCATACAAATAAAAATAATGATAGAATACAAAACCCTCCAAAGAGTATAAACAATCCGATCAATGCTTCAATATCAATTGCAGTAGAAATTGATGATGAATCAGAACATTTCTTTATTTGAAACCATTTTCTTCTTAAATTATCAAGACTACCTGTTTCTCTTAATGATAATATATTAACATCTAAGTCTTGTCCATATAACCATTGTTTAGGTGTTATAATACCAAATACACTTTTATCAAAACCTTCACCAACCAATGTTAAATTACAATATACGTTATTAATTACATATTCTGCAGCCCCCGCATCATGAATAGATACATCGATTATATTATTTAATAAACTATCATATATATCTTGCTGAGATTTTAATGGATAATAATTTCGATTACCATTAGAGATTTCTCTTAAGTAATATTCTTCCATAGCTGTACCTACACGAATACCAATACGATTGGAGGATATTTTACCACTTTTAATATCATCAATTCCAGAAATAATATTCTTCGATTTTGATATTGTTAGATCAGATGCTAAGTTTGCAGTGTATGATGCAACTAATACTAAACATAAGATATATAAACCAGCAGTTAATAAACGTCCAGCAGGTGTTTTAGGATGAAGACGACCTGCACCGTATCCTACAAGATTACCAAAAGTATACCAAACACTCATTGCACATAAACCAATTATTCGTTTTTTTTTTAGTATTCGATTGTTTTTTCTCTCTATTAGACAGATTAAAATACTAGTTAAAATAACAGTACACAAGATCAATAACCAGAGCCTCAGTGAGAATGGTTTCATGAATGTAAAGGGAACGATATCAACGTCGGGACTTTTTCGTATAATAAGACGTAAAGAATCATCAAATATTGAATTTGAAAAACCAATCTTTCCTCTTCTTGTCGCAGTAATTGTCACATCACCTACTATTATGTCATACATACGATCTTCTACTAGTTGTCCTAATGAAGCATAAGTTCGATTCAATGGTATTAATTCAATATTTGGAATAAATTTCATCTTCTTTTGTAAAAGATCAATAAGATCAGGTATATAACCAATTAATTTTGTTGTATTCTGACCAAATTCATCTATTACGGTATTGATCATTGTAAATGGAACTGCGTGAACTACACCAATTCGTAATTTCACACCATCAAGTTTTGCACCACCAGTAGGAGGTACTAACGAACTACCTGACCAGATAATTACATTGGCTTTTGAATATTCTTGCCAACCATCACGATTAGAATATTTCAATACTGGTACAAAACTCAGTCTATTTGAAAAATTTCGAGAGTTTTGTGCATAATAAAAACTACCATCTATTCGATCTGTTACATTACGATTAAATTGAATCGGACCAGAAACACCAAGAAATGTCATATTATTAATTGTATCAAAAAGTGATTCGGAGTTGAGAAAATGACGATCAAAACAGAATGAAGAATTAACAAATGATATACATGACGAAGAATTATTAGTAGTTTTTAAACAAAATTCTTGCAATGATTGAATCAATAACCAAGTTGCATCAAATGCAAATAATGCAAAATCATCTACTTTTCCTGACTTAGGGAATGTTTCAGGTTCATATTGTTTCCAAATATTATAGGCTGCATTCAATAATGTTGTATTAATTGATGCATGAACAAAATTTCCTGATATAGGTTCAACCGTTAGTATTCCAATTGTTTTTTGATGAAATGTTTCATTAGACGAGTTTAATGAAACACTTGAACTTAATATCCATGTGAAGTGTGGACCAAGTACATCAGAATCAAATGCATTTTGTAAAATTATAGATGTATAACGTGATCCAGCCCATACTACAACAATTCGTGTTGAGCTACTAGTTAAAACATTTTTCATATTATTTCGTATACGAAGCGTTGCTATATCAAATACTAATGTATCCACAACTGTCAAACCATTATTCATAAATTCTTTAGTTAATGCTTTTTCACCACCAGATCCATATGCATCATTTTGATAAATAATTATGCATGAAGTCCAATTAAATCGAAGAAATAGTTTTACAATTGCTGTTGCAGTCGCATTGTCTGAAGGAACTGTACGATAAAAAGCAGGATAAGCATTTCGATCAGATAAATCAGGATCTGTTGCAGCATATGATATAACAGGTATACCAACTCTTTCACCAAACTCAGCAATAATAGGAGTTTCTCTTGACAATACTGGACCCACAATACCAACAATGTTGGAAGCAGATGCCGCTTGACATGTACTACTGATAGCATTTATTGCTTTTTCATTAGTTTGTGCTACTTGCCATTCTATGAATTGTCCGTCAATTTTTATATTATATTGTTGAGAAAGTAAGACTGCTGCTTTAAACATAGCACGACAATGACTAGAGAATTCGAAAGATTCAGATGCGTTCATTTTATCTGGAAAAAGGCCTAATAGTTTTATATTGGAAGAGTGTAATAATGGCCAACTTGCTTTTACATATTGTTCATTAAGTTGTCCAAATATAAATAGTAAAAACAACCATCGAAGATTACACAACAATATAATCATTATTTGATTTAAACGCAGATAGATTAATTGAATTGAATGTATGAGAAGACGAATTATACTAAAATTTAAACAAGATTAGGACAATTAAATTAAGTTATTTGATGAATAACTAGCGTATCATTATCGATAAAAACAAATTAAAAAATAGGTTTCATATTAAAAGAAATATAATGTGCTATATTTTTTGAGACAGACATCAAACTTTATCATCATACTATCCAGAAACGAATACGAATTGAGAACTTCTGATTTGGAATCGATCTAACACATTCTCGAAAATCATAAATCGGTTCTATTCTATATAATTTTACAAAAATCAATTCGATTCAATTAGAAGAAGGAAGACCATAAAACTAGAAACTGGGATATTTGAAACTTACTTCAGTTCGATGATATATTGTTACCTTTTATTAATTTATTTTCTTAGTAAACTAATCAATTGAAATTAAAAAATGACTAGTAAAGTAAAAGCAAAGTACCACTATTTATTCTGCTGGTAATTATGCGGTTGGAAATTTCCAATTGGTAAAAATATTGACATAATGATCGTATTATGTCATTTCGATACGTTCTACATTAATGAGCATGAATCAGAAAAAATTATTATGCGGCTGGAATTTTCCAACTTGTACAAACGATATGCATGTATGATAATTTTCGTCATGAATCGTACGCGAAATTCCAGTTCTGTTGACATCAAGTATATGAGTTGAGTTCTCTATGAGTCATAGTAGTCCAATCAAAACATGATATTTTGATTAGTGTTTATATAGATAATTTGTTCGATACGCATCACATGGTTGTCATAGCTTGTTCTTATAACATGGATTGTTTTGACCTTTTACTGATTTTACACACCATCCCAACTTTAGTGAAGATTGTTCGCTAATATTTATGAACAACTAAGAAAAAACCTAGCAAAACTCATAGCTGTATTAAAATTCTTCTATGTAAACTTGTAATCTAGACGACAAGATATTCAGAGAAAAAAAAACCAAAATTGTTGGTTTTTTTACAAACACATGCTCTTTTTAAGAAAATATCTATCGTAATCTAAGTCGGCTGATATCTTAGTTTTTATTTTCAAAAAAAATCAGGTTTACAGAGTAGATTTTTCAAAACTTTACACCAAACAAATATTAGTTCTTGCCAGTTGGGTTTGAATTCGGGCTCAAATTCTCATTTTTAATAATCCATTTTTATTTTCACAGATGTTCAGTTAGTTTTTAAGATAGTACCAATCGAGAGAGAGAGAGACTGTGTATTACCGATCAATAGATCTGTATTTTATGATTGAAAGAAACAAGAGATTATGTCCATAAAAAAAAAGTATAAATGTAATATGAAATTACAAACTCCAAAATTCAGCATTGCTGCATTTTTTTTTCTAGTTTAAATGTTAAAGAAAATCTATCTCAAAAACTTATCTAATCAATCTCTGATTTTGTTTCGTTGTTGTTGAATTATTATTAATTAAATATTTTTCAGATGGTAAGAAGTAGATTTAATAATTGGAACGGAGTTGTTGTTAAATTATAAAAAATTTCAATAACTTAATTTGCCTGTTGATACATACACAAAAGTAAAAACATACAATCGTATGTTCTTCTACTACTACAATTTGTAACTGATCATACACTATTCAAGTTAGTACTAGTACTCCGTACGCATTAGATAAATAGGGAAGTGAGCAACATCAATATGTTACTTACTTCCCATTTCATGATAGACACCCTTCCAATGAAAATATGTATTACGCGAGACTGCAGAAAAGAAAAAGAAAATTTATTACACTGTACGAAAAAAGAACCATTCACTTCAATCTTGTTATACGTTTCAAAAGAAAGTGAAGACAGTTAACCAGAACACATCAGTATTTTTGCCTACTTTTTCTAGAAGTCATGATCGATGGGTGTGGGTGATATTGCGCAGATGACGAAAATAATAGAAAATTATCAGCCGATAAAAATAGACCATTTTCATTTTCAGTTGGTGATATAAAGTTCGTGTGTATCTTTTCAATTGTTTGGTACATGTATGACGACATATGCCGTCGTACACGTATTTACCTTTATTAAGAAGTATTAAATGAAAATGTGAAAAAAATTACTTAATTTAGTTCAGGGTTCATACAAAAACAGTCATTATTTGAACTTATATTTTGCTGGTTAATAGAGATTGTAATATATATGAAATTTTTTTGTGAAAACAATGATCTTCACAAATCTCAGAAGAGAAATATTTTCATAATTTGATAGTTTCTTTAGAACATCATCTTATTTATGATTGATCGCAGTAAGAATACCGTTCACATATGAGTAAATACTCTTATATGGATCAATTATGTTTCTTCAGATGTTCTTTTTGAGTTCAGTCGAACTGTTTGATATACTTTTCAAACATAAATATAGTGGATCTATCATTCGTTTCGACTATAAAAGGAGAAAAAAACTAGACCAGAACATTTATATATCTGATTGATAACTCAGAAGTGACTGATTTTTCCGCTATAAATAACTATATATACAAAGTGAGTTTGGATGAAAATTCGCAGATTATGACAGCGCTTCTTTTTTTCGAGATTTAAAAAAAACACATTGTTATTTCCCTCATTTTGGAATCTAAATTACGCTTCGACAAAATTTATCACATACAGTGCTCGTTGTTGAAGCAGTTTTTGACAAGTAATTTTCCGACAGCGCATATTATTTCCTATAGCATTGCTTCACAGCATAATGAATAAAAAAATAGTGAGATAATAATAGATTGATACGATAAACAGGAACTTTCCTCACATGTAGGTCTTCTCTTCTACACGAAAAAATAACATTCAAGAAAACAGATTAGTTTAATTATTCTTTGTGCGAAATTTTAGGAATGAACTTAAAGTGCACAGTTGTCAAATCGTATCCGTGAGCCTTTGTCGATTGATTTAACTTAAGAATCCAAAGAGTTCTCTCGATTAGACTGTATCAGTAGCATAGCAAAATTTTTCCGACGAAATTATAGATAGAAATTAAAGTTCAGAAAGTATCTCAGATAATTCTTCGTAAAGAACTTCTCAAAAGTCATCTTCGGAATCAGGAATAAAGAAGTTCATAATCGTCGTGAAGATATTTCATCAAGAAGCATGCTATGCTGGCTCCCTCTTTTATTACACCTCGTTATAAAATCTGTCGTAGCTGGTTTCTAAGCAATGACGCTGCACTGCACAATATGCTTGGTGCGCCGTCCAATGTTCGTTCTGTGCATGTAGATGACTAATCAAATAATCGTTCTGTTTCGTTCGATGCCTAGCCTAAGTTTCGTCATTCCCTGCTGCATGACGTCACGCACGAACAAACATTAGCGAAATATAACAGAGAAAGCGAGCAGAGAGAAAGAACAGGAAGAAATGTATAAATACTCGAGTGTTTCTTTTAGCTCACATTAGCAGACTCTCTGCTCTTGGACTACGTTTTCACTGACTGAGTATTTTGGGAACTGACGAGTTTTCATATTGTTTGACTGCAAAAGAGATTTTTCTGGGCTTTTCAAACTTGAGAAGAGCTTTTTTTCACATCAATCTTGTTCTAGTTACTGATCTCACTCAACAAGCAATCACGACAAACGATATAGAACGATGACGAACAAGGATGAACAAGTGGAATTAGCGAAATTAGCCGAACAAGCCGAACGGTACAGCATCTGTTCGCATAACTTATTCGATCTGGTAATGTGAGTTTTTATTTAGATATACTGATATGGTGGCTGCCATGAAAAGGGTCGCTGAATCAAATTGTGAATTGACCGATGAAGAACGCAATTTACTCTCGGTTGCCTACAAGAATGTGGTCGGCGCTCATCGATCACCTTGGCGAGTTATTTCAACCATTGAACAGAGAGCCGAAAGCTCCGAACGTAAGCGACAAATGGCCAAAGAATATCGAGAAAAGATCGAAAGCGAATTGAAAGACACGTGTCATGACCTTTTAGTAAGATTTACTCAGTTACCGTTTTTTTTATGACAAACATGTGCCATTTCAGACCTTACTTGATAAATATCTCATTCCGAAAACAACAACAACCGAATCGAAGGTATTCTATTTGAAGATGAAAGGTGACTATTATCGATATTTGGCTGAAATAGCCAGCGGAGTCGAACGACAAAGTAACGTATTGAATTCTACTCGAAAATAGATATTTTTTGTATCGATATTGGTCGCAGAAATGGCTGAAGAATCGCAACATGCATACAAGGATGGATTCGATGTGGCGAAGAATCAAATGCCAGTAACGCATCCGATTCGACTTGGTCTTGTTCTAAATTTCTCTGTCTTTCATTACGAAATTCTTAATGAACCGGATGTAGCTTGTCGTTTAGCCAAACAGGTTTGGTGGATTTTATGTATTTATTTTTTTGTTTTACATCCAAATACCTATTTCCTAGGCCTTTGACGATGCTTTGGCCGAGATAGATTCCATCAATGAACAATCTTATAGAGGTAAGATCATCGATCGACAACTAATGTTAAAGTCAATTGTTTTTCTTATCTGCTTTCAGACAGCACTCTTATCTTGCAGCTGCTTCGAGACAATCTCAGTGTGAGTATTCATGTGTCATGCTCTTTATAGAAAAGCTTTTGTTTGCTTGAATTTTGCAGCTGTGGAGTAGTGATGAATCTGGTGTCGACAATGTAAATCAATCTGAAGAACGGCAGTAACTGGACGCTTCAGTTTCTTTCGCTTCTTATCTCTTTTGTTTATATTAATACGCGCCGATCATCATCCACTCTGACAAAAAAAAATACAAATATTTTCTCTATCTGTTCTAATCATGGTTACTCTTCTGTGCTTCTTTTTCTCTTACTGTTTATTTTTTTAAATTTATGCTCGTTGATGTCATAATAAAAAGACGAGCATAACGAACTTTCAAAAAAATACGATGCAAAAAAAACGCACTATCTACACAAACTGAATTTCTAGTTCTCGTAAGACATTCTCGTTTTCAATCCTTGTAGTTCTAATAATATCTGAGACGATTATCTTGTGAGACGAAAAACATTGTTTCCAATATGCAAACATGACCAAAATGGGGAACATACCAAACAAAACTAAAAGTATACCTATGATGTTATAAATAGATATTTCATCGTAAAAAGTGAATATCTCGAATATAAGTCGGTGCAATTCTTATCAGCGAAAGAAATAATGTTATTTCTTCGAAATTCGATTTTCCATAGAGCACATACGACTGTTTTGAAAAAAATGTTTGATAAAGCTTGATGAATCGAAATTCGTACATATATTAATCATCAATGTGTATAAACAATCCATGTGTCGAGATGTCCTCAAGTCGAAAATACACAATTTATCGATGATGGATTATAAATTGACATATAGGTATAGTCAACCGCTTTGTCTACTCGAATGGCAGTCATTCGTTATTTATATTTAAGGATAGTATTTTTTTTGTCACATCTTATCCAAACAAATTTTTATAGTTTTTTTCCTGCACTGATAGATCAATATTGATTGATTGTTCATATTGGATTTACTAGCAACTGATGATAGACAAATATAATGATCGTAGTCTGATAATGGAGAAGATCACTTGTAATAGGTTTCTCGACATGTAGATCTTTTTTTTGACAGTTTTAGCATTGATCGACGTTTTTATAACACGATTCGTTTTTTGTCGTTCACCTTTCTGAAAAGAGACACATCGCAAGTAGTGAACGATAACAATTTAAAGAGAAAAGATTTAATAAGATTGAAAAACATAAAATTAAGAGATAGAGCATATGTTGAATTTATCTTTTCCGGAAAAGCCGATCGCTGTTTTTTGCATTAAGTTGATCAATTATGATTGTTGAATCATCTTTGACCACTATTCAAAAACCAATTTATGTATGCATCTATATTCATAATAAGTTAAGAATCAGATATACATTGAATGAAAATTGTCATCCAAACAAATAGCAAAATCAGCTACTATACAATCTTCTGCTTTTTGAATTGTTGTTTGTGGTACTTTCTAACTTTGTTCGGCTTTGGCGAGAATGGGATTGATTGAATAGCATTATTCATTTGCTTATCTTCTTATATATTCTCTTTAGGATTATTCGGTATTACACGCCACAACATGAACTCGAATCGAAAAACAAAAGGTGTTTCTAAGTAAATAATTATTTTTTTATATACAACTGATAGCAATTTCGTGCATATTTCTTCAGAGTATTGATAGCATCGTTATTAATTATATGAACATTGTCAAAATAAGGAATTACAAAGAAGCTCTGTCAACCTATATGATAAGTAGAAAACGAAAGCGTCGTCATCAACCTAAACAGAAAAATGTGTCAATGAACTTCTCTAAGGTTTTAAGTCTTGACGAACTATTCTTTTACAAAAGAGAAGTCGAATGTTCATATCGTCATCATCAGTTTTGTTTAAAAGAATAAATTCATCTTGAATAAGATCTTTGAAAACTCTGCAAAATTAATTTATATAAAATGATCGTATTAATCGAAATAATATTCTAAGATCTATTTGATTGTTGATAAAAACTTTTTTAAAAAATTCTTCAAAAATTCAAAATATAATACTGACAGTTCATATTGAATTTGATAACACATCTATCTCGCCGTAATCTTGTTCATATGTTGCATGACTTATCGCCTGTTGATCAGATATGGCTCCGATCGATCAAGCATTTATCCTAATTGACTTTACATCGATGGATAGCAAACCGATTATTCTATCTACTTTGTTAAAAAAAAAGGCTTTTAGAAATTTTGAAAAATCGAAGTTTTAGACACATGTGAAGACTCATAAACAAAAGATCGTTCTAACATTAATTATCACTTTCGAAATATTCTAATATCATTATTCACGATCTGTTACGAAGCATGACAATAAGGTAAAATGTGTTTAAAATATCAATTGCATCTAAGTGTGCTAGTAAGCTAACCCTTTTTTCATTTTAAGCATTTAGGTAAGTGCGCTCAGGGATAACGTCAAAAAAAACTATTTCAATTGTCACAAAATGAGAATATGTTCAGGAATGAAACTCTTTTTCAAAAAAATTAGTTGAAGAACAATAGATTTTCAGTATTTTATTCAGTTTTATCCATAACATAATTGACGCACTAGAAGAAAATGAGTAACCCAAGATGAAGCTCTTCATCTCCTAAAAAGGTTTATGCAATGATGATATTAAATGTCAGTCAGAGTCTACGACAAATATTAGCTTAATAATCCTTGTTTATGAAGTAGGCGAGAAGAGGAAAAGAGGTTTTTTTTTACATACTACCTATTCATAAGTTGACTACTTCAAACTTATCCTAACATTGTATTTAATCTTTATTAACTGACAAAGAACATTTTCTCACGATGAAAGATTGGAGAGCGACTACATCATACATTCAGCCACAATATGTTGGAACTGTTCCGATGGCAGCAAACACCATCGGTGTGTATCCTCAAGCAGCAGGTTACTACCAACAACCTAATTATTTTCCACAACACTTTAATCAACAACAAGGACATGATATTCGACGAATTAACGATTGGTTATGTTGGTCAATATTAAATTTGATTTTTGCTTGGAGTTTTTTCGGTTTCCTTCCACTAATCTTTTCAATTATCTGTCGAAGTAAGAAGAAAGTTAATGATTATGCTGGAGCCAGTTCGATGAGTAAATTAGCATTGATTTTCAATATTATCATTACAATCTTAGGAATTATCGCTTGGGTTTTGTTTATCGTTCTAATGGTGCTCTATTTTCGAGTATGGAAGCGAGGTCTTCATAACATTGATAATTTCCATGGACGTTGAATGAAGTCGTCCGACGGTGTTTAGATGATAATAACTGCAAAACTACACGGCTTCTTTACAATATTTCCTTTCTGAACTCAACAACCTAAACAGAACATGTCCTAAAGGATTGATCGTTGATGATTTGTTGAATACCAATATATTTCAAGCGAATTTTTTATCTTCTGAAAACAAAAACTATTAGAAATATTCAAAGAGTATTTTATGCATTTTGTCTAAATCTATCCAGCATTTGGAAAATCGATTCACTTGAGTGTACCGTACTCGGCTGCAAAATTCGTGATTTTT